CTCGTCGAACGCTCAGATCGTTCAAATCGTTCAAATCGCGCTGCTCTAATCGCGCTTGAGGCGCCGCAGAACTTCCCGACGTTGCTTGAAGCGCGTCCACCATAGACTTTGTATGTAAACCTGCTGCTCCTGACGCTGAAATCACGTTTGGTGTGAACGCACCATAAGTCTTCATCTCTTTGATAATGACTCACAATAATCTAAAGAAACAGATTCTTCTCTACAGTCTGTGCTGTTAGCCTTGTAGCAACGCTCTGCTCACATGCAGACATTCCCCTTTGACATCACTTCCTGTTACTTCACACACAAATATCTCAACAACTGTTCATCTCAGCAGTGTAAAAACTTTTTTGCAATATGTTATTAATGTTGTCTTTCCAAAAATGCAAAAATTGCAAACATTTGATGTCACAAGCACATGAACTTTTTTGTTTTTCTCTTTAACATCTTTATATTTGTGGTATTTCATGTGTTAACGTCTGAGACATCAGTTTTCACGAGTGTTCAGAAGCTCATTTCATTCATAAGTAATGAAAAGTTAAAATACTGATGTTCTGCAGAGGTGTAGGAAGTAAATGTGTATAAGCCAAACAAACAGAGTTCATGCTGTCATAAAATTGAGCAGCTTTTGTTCGATGTCATACCTTATTACTCAGAGCTTCAATCTTATCTTGGTCCAGTTTATGCTGCCGGTTGCTGGCCTCCATTGTTGTAGCAAACCTCTCCACCTCTCTGTTAAGAACACAAACCACGTTTTCAAACGTCCCAGATTTGACCTCAAGTTCTGTGCACCTGCGGCCCAGTTCGACCACCTTGGTCTTCTCGCTGTGGAGCTGAAGCTCCAGTGCTGCGCCCACCGAGCTGGGCAGGGGTGTGAAGGAGGTCGACACAGAGAGAGTGGGAGGGAGTGTGGGAGGTGGAGGGAGAGCAGCTGAGGCGGGTGGACCAGGGGGACCAGAGCTAGAGGAGGATGACGACAAGGTGGAGGAAGAGGCGGCAGCTCCCTGCACGGGAGGCCCAGAGGAGGTGGTGCTGAGCTGGGAGACTCTGGCCTCGAGTTCCCTGAGGGATTGTTGGAGTTCGACCAGTTTGTGTCCGGCTACTTCCAGTCCTTGGGGCTGCAGACCCTCCATGCTCACTTTCATGCCCATAATGTAGTGCAGCAGCAGGTTAAGGTGCTCGTAGGCAAAGGTGCGTTCATGGTCATGAATCTTCTCCTTCTCCACCTACAATTTAAAAGAGACAAAACATTCTGAAGAATTAGCTTTAATCAGTTAAAAATATTTTAAAGCAGGGCTATTCAACTAAATTGCTCTGGGGGCCACAGTTAATGCTGAGGGGCCGAACGTCCAGCAATTAAAGTTACTATGTAAATAAACCAAGTAAATAAACCAAGTATTACAAAGATCTTTTACCTTTGAATTAGTATATTTTATTGCATTTAATCATGAATACAACATACAGAACCCTATAAAAGTAGTGATAATTACACATTATCAAAAACAAAAAGAACACATTATGCCTCCTGTTTGACACAAATAATATTTTGACATCTCTGACTTGCCAAATTTTTAAACCAATTTTATTTTCACTTTCATCATTTTATCTTCAACTACTTGTAGTTTTAACTATCTTTGGTGTGCATAGAAATGGTTTTTACCAGTTTGTAGCCAACGTTCTGACGTTTCTGTAGATACCAAACATGTCTATGTTTATCTAAGAGAACTTACAGTGATTAAAGTAGAAAACTGGGAGTTGGTGCTGAAGAGATGAGTGAACCAATTGGCCGCCAGTTGAATATCCCTGTTTTAAAGCATTTATTAAGTGTGTCAACATATAATCACTGAAGTACCCATTTTCCTTTTGTGTTTAAAACTTTTTGTCCCACTTCTCGTCATGTAGCTCTGGGTCTGGGGAGGGCAATCCTGGTGCTGGAGGGCAAGTTTTCTGCAGGTTTTAGAGGTGTCTCTGCTCCATTACACCTGATTTGAGTCTTTGGGTGATTAAAATGCTTCTGTAGAGTATGAGAAGGTAATTCAACCACTGAATCAGGCGTTGGAGCAGGAAAACAAGTACAAGATGCAGGATAACGGCCCTTGAGGACCAGGATTGCCCACCTTTGGATCAATAGACAGATAATAGACTTTAATAGGATGGTGAAACCCATGAGAAAACCCTGCTCTCTAGCCTGATTTCTAGAGAAACACTCTTCTATAGCAGAGTCCAGAATAGAAGACTATGTTTTTTAACTTTGTTTGATTTATCCTGGATAACTGAGAACCCTGGGACCCAGGACAGGTATTGCACTGTTTACTTTTTTTCATAGACAAGAAATAGGAACAATTAGGTTTTGATCAGAAGACCTTAGGAGTCTTGAAGGAGAATAAGGACTTACATGTACACTGATGGAACAAGACTGTTTAGAGCTTTGCAAACTAGAAGTGGGAGTTTTAATTTAATCCTGAGTTTTAGGAAGCTATGGTAGATCTAACCTAGGAGCTGCAGATGAAACACCAAGCCATCTGTGTAGACAACCAATAAGAGCAGTGAGATCGATTGCGTCAAAAGGCAGCAAACAAATCTAACTAACTCATAACCACTGTGGTTCAGATTCTACTGTAATTTATGTTTATGTGTTCATAGGACCAACCTGTGTGTACATAGGTACCTGTAAGTGGGAGGATACACTTACACTTTGCTCCCCAATGTTTTAATGTAAAAACTCATCACTTTCATGAATAAAATCAAATCAAGTAATCAAGTTTAATCATTTTAATTTGATTTTTTATTTACAAACTAAAATAACAACAATGGGCCTCATGCAAGAACATGTTCATATTCTTATCCTAAATTTCTCTTACTTTTGTTCGTACAAAGGGTTCGTACGAACATGTCAC